GATGCCCACCTCACGACTATACTTCGGTGCTCCAATGGTTTAGCCCAAGTACGTTAGCGGTTAGTTGATTGTAGAGTTACGGCCAATCTGAATTTTAACTGTAAGTTAATATTAGGCCAAGTTTATGCACCTGGTTTCGTTAGTAAAATTCATTTTCATATTTTACTAGTCACGACTTTCAACCTACTATGCAATCTTTTTGTGTTCCTTTCTATGCAGTTGACTACCTGAGAAATTATTCCCTCACCAGGATGATGCGAGTGCCAAATGGCTAATGAAGATCTAACTCATTCTTGTTAGCGATATTGTTATTATCATATTACCTTTGTGTCTGCGAAATGCCTTGTGTTTCATATGTAAAACGTGACATACAGGGTGATAAATTTAACGTAAAATATCAGCTTGTCCAGATTGCCTCTAGGCTCTAATTTTAGGGAAACGGCTTACTGCATTGATTTAACGGACCATCCGTCAAAATTCAGAATTCTCAATTTCATTAATACTATAATATATTAATATAATATCAATACATAATCGAATTGCATAAGCGCAAATTGATATTTTATTAAATTGGTTTCATTAGTAGAAAATATAAAAACCCCATCTAAAACTAATTATTACCTATTTAACATCGGACTTGGATTTTTCTTTATATAAAAATATTTTTAGGATTATGCATCTGTAAGTTACAGCAGCATTAAAACTAAGTAAATTCTTGATAGTGTTGTAATGTGAATACAACCAAACATTTAGTTTGTTTCATCATCACTAATCATCGCTATTATTAAATAAATTTGGCAAATATCATCGACATAACGCCAGAAGTCTAAGATACAGATAGGTACATAATATACAGACCTACTGTTTCTCCGATTCTAAAGTTATACCAAGTAGACTATTAAATCCAATGGTGTTTTAATGCGATAAAAAGAATTGACTATTGTATGTATAATACGAGGCATGTGCATTTGACAATAAAACGATTAAGGATTTAACCACTGGGGGTCTGATGATACACGCATTTTGCTAACAATGGCAACATATTATACGCACCACCCCAGGGAAAATCACAAAACGGTATACGAAGTCACTGTCGTTTATATATTAAACCAACTGTGTAGAAAAACAATCGTAGTGAGAAGAGTAACATTGACTTATGGAACACGAATATTTTCTGAGCAATTTGTCATCTGCTTTTGTTACTGCTGTATTGAGATGATAATATTCTGTAACATTATCGGTAGTAAATACAAAACTACTCAACATTTTACTCGTATTTTATGGTAATTAATGTTAATAGCCTGCTGACAGATGTTAAGTTCTGAAAAAAATATATGGTAACTTTTGAAAGTTGAATTTTAACCTACATTTATAAAATTGTCTTATTTAAATAATAATAAAATAATGAAAATAGTGCCGGTCTATAATTAATTTTGAATAAATATTTGTTGAGTTATTAAAGTTATCAAAAGTAATATTATACATTTTTTAAAACAAATTTTTAACAATGTTACTAGTGAAGATTAATATAATAATATTGTGTCTTCTTCGTCTTATTCCATAAAAATGGTATTGGTTCATACACACCTAGATGTCTTTCGATAAAAAATTGTCCTAAGTTAATTTGTATCATTATAAATGTATAATCTTATTAATGATGTCTATCTGTATAATTCATCTATGTTTTGTTATTGTTTTTTAAGCTATAAACTGCTGCAATATACTGCTAGATCGATTGTCTTAAATTAGATAAAACAGTATCTTAGCGCCATCTATCGGTTTTACTTACAACAAGCAACCACACAGGCGTAACTGCGTAACGTGTCTACTCACTTAGTTGGCTAAACTACTTTATCGATCTTTAGATCTTAATACTGATAATTTGTTGAATATACATTTTTTATACAATCAAAGGATACAAACACATGACTGGAACAAGTTTTTACTAAAAACTTAATTTTATAAAAAAAAAAATTACTCGTGTCGTTTCTGCAATCATCATCGGTTCAATGATTTTTTAAAAAATACCCATAACTAAAAAGTAACATAGATAGAAACTTCTGACTTTAACAAAAACTTCCAAATAAAACAACAAGTTGATTATGCTGCATTTATGTCAGTTTTTAAATGCGATATAATAAACAGTAGACTATAATAAAATATTATTATCAATATATTGAATTTTACTTATTCATTTTGATACAAGATATATAAAAGTTTTGTAAAGATAAAAATTTGTATTAGATAAAGTATATTTCCATTATATATATATTTTTTTCCTTTGCTTTTTTTAAATACTATGTTCATTCGTATTGTGACTTCGATAGCATTGAATTAAACTTAAAAAAAACCATCTAATTAATAAAATATTTACGCTTAATAATAATGTTTTATGAAGATAAATTATGGAACAAATACTAGTAGAAGTACTTAAAGTTTTTTATGAAAAAAAAAAATGTTCAAAATAGTAAATACTATTATTTTATGATCGGTAAATAATATCCATAAAATAAATAATAAAATACTAACCCATACAATTTAGATACTTATTCGAGTTCAATAGTGGGTCAACATGAGCAATAATATGATACAAATAATAATAATAATTATGCGACAGTTAGATTTTGGCAAAGTGAAAAAGCACGTTTGACACGATCTTTCATTTAATGGCAGCCTAAGTAAAACCCAAACATCGCATTTTTAATGACGGAATAACAACGATAAAGATGCGTGTATATGAAATGTATACTTTTAAATATGTCGCTACTTAATTTTTTATTTTACTCACATGATTTATGACTTCTTATTATGTGTTTACGTTACTCGCGGTCGTTAAAAAAAAATACTCAATTTATTCTTTAGCCTCGTGTGTCTATTTTTAAATATTAAAACATTATTCGTTCTAACCACTTTGAAAAAAAAATATGTTTCCATATTACAAGAAAGAAATCCGCCTACACTAACAAGGATATTCGAACTAAGTGATGCTGTCATCGACCAAAGAAAACAGCAGCCTAAACACCGGTGGAGATTCACGTCCATTATTCGGATGGGTGGTCTCAATGTACTGTAAATCTGTCAAAATCATATTAAAACAACCGCTACTACGCATCCACATACAATCATCAAAACCAAAATTAAGTAACTTATAGTGACTAATGATGAGTAAATGACATTTCGAACAATTTTGTTTTTACAAAGTGAAGTAGATCTATACAAAACGGAACATCTGTTTATGCTTGTACAAAAAACTAAACAAAATATATACATTGTATCGTGACTCTTATAATATTGATGGCTTAAATTATCTAAGCCAAATAGCCTTAGACCGATCAAACATTTAAAAAATATGTTTTTGGCACAAAATGAATTTATTGTAGTTTGATAAAAAATAGAAAGGTTATTGTACTGTAAAAACCAATATGTGAAATAATCCATATTTAAACCGATAGAAAGCGTAGAACAATACTTCATGTTGTCAAATATTTGTAAAAGAAAAACTTATAAATGCTTTCTTGTAAAATTGTGAAGTTGTACTTTTAAATATGTTTAGTCATTTATGACTGATTATTAACAGTTTTGAACAAAACAAATCTACAAAAAACCGACGAATAAAGTTCATAAGCGTCATATCTATACGATTTTTGTCATCTTAAGAGAGCGTTGTAGAACATAGAAACTAATTTTTAAATAAGTAACTACTAGTTAAAAAAAACTTCATCACAGTGAAATATATCAAGCGAAATGGACTACATTTTTTGTGGGCCTCAGAACTATTATAATTGAAGACTGTACCTCAGGACATAAATCCGGCACTATTGGTATCGGTACCATTTACTACTGTATATAATTGCAAGTAAATAGTAACTTCCAATCGGAAGTAATGTTTAACAAATTTTGCGTGCATGTATGGGGGCCATGTTCACAACGCACCAATTCACCATATCAGAGGTGGTCTACAATTTGTAATAATATATATTACATAATAATTGTAACCGGTATCATAACAGTTACTGATTACATAATATAGTGTACAGCAAACAATTAAATAGGTTATTTACCCATTTAAGTAATCTTTTCAAAACCTCAAACATTAAACCTACAAAACAAAGGAATATTATGATAAAGAATGAATACAAAAAAGAACTAGACGATTGTAAAGAAAGATCTGCTTTAATGAACGACTTCATAGAAGAGGAAGTTCGTCTCGTCTTAAAAAATGTAAAAAATGGGAAAGCGGCAGGTGTCGACGGAATACTACCAAAATTTATAAAAAATCTAGGTCCTAGAAGTAGACTTTGGCTTGCACGCTTTTGTCAACGTCGGGGCCAATAAAGGGACTCTCCCTAAAGCATGGCGCTAAGCGAAAGTTGTGGCCATCCTGAAGACAAATAAACCGAGAAAATGTATAGGCCAATTTCGTTGCTATCAGTAGTATACAAGCTTTTTGAGAGATTACTACTAAGGCGAATGTCTCCACTATTAGAACGTACAATACCCAGGGAGCAAGCTGGTTTTAGAAGTGGGAGAAACTGCATTATAACCTAGAAAAGAGGCCGATAAACTCAAATATTTTTACAGACCTGAAATCGGACTATCCTAAGTTGGGCTAATTTTGTCAGGCTTTTAGGTCTAAAACGTCAAAAATCAGACCGCTTTCAATCCCCTTAATTTTTAAATCTTTCTATAGCGTGACATTCTGGGTTCTTCTCCGATATTTTCCAACAAACTACTAAAAAATTTGTTGTAAAAGTTTATCTAATGTCTGCAAAGGTTGTGTTGCTAACTTTATGAAGGTTATTAACAATACATAATAACTTTTCCCAATCGTGAAGTAACTATATAAGCAGTCCATTTCTTATCAATAGCCGCAAAATGTGATAACAAGGCTTGGTTCTTTATCAATCATATGGTGAATGGACTATTCGAATTTCGACTACCTATATAGAGGCCGCTGGCCGCTGGCGAAAGCGAATAGCGATCGATTATTCGAAACTTATCAGAGATAAAATAAACCGAACAAATAAATCTTGGGTAGTTAATGCCTAATACATATTTTTGGTGATCAGTATTACAGTTCCTATTAGTAACTACATTAGTTGTAATTATTTTAAAGACGGAAGTTGTAATTGTATAAAATTATGTATTAAGTTTTTATCTCAATAAATGATAATGAAAATGTTATTTATTCAAAAATCAATACCAGTATACTAGGTAATAATATTTCTCTTGCTGTTGTTACATTGCTCATATATTTACGATTTTTGTATGATCGCTTAGAACGAGATAGATTGGAAGAAGTCGAAGAGTGTTTATAAAACTAGAAAATAACGAAAAATTCATAATGGCTGTAGCACCAAGACCAGAGTATTTACAGGTAATAATTACATTATAATATTTTTGTGTCCAAGATATTTTTTTGTTTGTGACACTTAGTGCTTTATAGTTTTTCCATTTAAAAATAAATCCTGTTATGATTATTGAAATTTTTTACTCATTTCATATTATGTACATTTGTTTAAACCAGTAACAATTTTCAAATTCTATGGATGCACAGTCATTAGAGTTAGGTAATGAAAAAGTGGGTTTTTTTTAGCTCACTTGTCATAATTAACTCCCGCCTCATGAAAATCCCTTATTTTGACTTTCATCATATTCTTCTCAGATTTAAAATCTCTTTATCTGGCATAACTGTTACAGATGTATCATACTCGCCATATCTTCTTCTCCTCGGTTTTATTATTTAAACTTTCTTGAACACTATAAAATAATTTTAAATGTTGATAGTCCATACCTAGTTCTTTAATTTATGTGAATATTTAAACATATTTTAGACTAATTAAATATGGTGACTAATGCTTTTATATAAATATATTCTCTTAAAACTAAAATATGCTCTTATTTTTTGGGGTTCTTGGTATTATCTTCGTGACATTATCTTATTTCCGTAGTTGTAATCCCATAACAATATTTTTTTACATAAAAGGTTAATAACATGAATGCACTTATTTTTATTTCAGACTTTACTCGAGACATTCAAATGTTTTATATGTATGGAAAAAATACAAGATGCTCATTTATGTCCACACTGTTCTAAGTTATGTTGTTATTCTTGTATACGTCGTTGGCTTACAGAACAGCGGTCACAATGCCCTCATTGTAGAGCCACGTTACATTTACATGAAATTGTTAACTGCAGATGGGTGGAAGACTTATCTGATCAACTTGACTGCTTAAACAACACTGGTGATACAAGAAATGTTCGACAATGCTTAGAACAGAGGTTATTACATATAAGATTTCTTACAATTTTAAATAAATTTATTTTCTTTTGATGCTAAATTGCAAATGTTTTTATTTATAATATAACTTTTTACATAAAACTTATTATTTTAGCTGTGAAACACACAATGAACCATTAACTGTTTTCTGTGCTACTTGCAATCTATCTATTTGTCATCGATGTGCACTATTTGATAATTCGTCTCATATTAGTCATTCATTTCGGCCAATCGAGGAAATTTATAATGAAACCCTGACAAAACTCGAAGATGAGTGTGATAATCTGAAAGGCAAAGAAGAACTGATTAAAAAGGATATTAAAGAAATTGTGAGTTCAAATTGTTTTATTATTATCATCAATCAAAATTGATTTTTATAATTAATAAAAAGATTAATCAAAAAATTCTGATAGTGTTTATATTAACTGAATTTTTATGCCATATGAGGTACGGTCCACAAAAACTCTTAAAGTTGTGAGCTAAATTATATATTATGATATGACATTTAATTGAAAACAGCACATTTTGTGATTAAGTATGTATTTAGTTTGTATACAAAACATTAATACAAGCACCTTAGGTTGTTAAATTGAAAAAATAAATTTTCAAAAAATGAAGTTAGTATACTTAATTTGAAAATCATTTTATTTCATTCATTTTTTTTATGTTTTAATTTTTCTGTGTTTTAATGTCTTTAACACTACTCCATTACACTAAAATTATCTTTTTTTTAGGCTATATTAATTAAGTAATATTGTTTATACCAATGCTTACATTTTTTAGGATAAAAATATTAAAGATGTACAGCAAGCCAAAGATCAAAAAGTGCGTGAAATTCGCACGGCAATTGAATGTATGATGATGGATTTAGAAAAAGATCTTGATACCAAACTTACAACTTTATTAAGCCAAAAAAGTCATCTAGTCCACGAAGCTGAACAAATTGAAGAGTTTTTACATGACTGTGATTTGGAAGTCTCTCAAATGACAATGTCTCAGCTAATTAGTAATGCTCCTAGGTTTATGAGAACTGTTACTATTATGCAGCAAAAGCAAGCTCCATTATTAATTCCTGTGTATCCCGAGTTCCATAGGTAATTTTTTTTTAATAAATTATAATAGTATAATAATTTATAGAACAGAAATAAAATAATTGAGACATTTTATGTATGTTTGTTCCTTTTAGTGCCGTGACCCCTAAATTTGAAGGAGGTACTTTGACTATAAAATCATTTTCTGAAAAAATAACTCAATCTGAACCTATCTATTCATTGCCTATTGGATGTAACGGTGTCAGTTGGAGACTCAAAGTATATCCTAATGGGAACGGTATTGTAAGAGATAGATATTTATCTGTATTTTTGGAATTAACTTCAGGTCCACCTGGTGTTTCTAGGTAAGTTAATTAACTCAATTTCCCCATAAAACATAAAATTACATGAATAATAAAATTCATAAAATAAACTATATTGAACTTACAAAAAATTACAAAAGATTTGTACTGTACAGGTTAAAAAAAAAAACATACATACAGTTTTGTTTTATTTGTTTAACTTTTTTTATTAACTTATTTTAGCTGCACTATATTATGAAATTATTTCTTTGAGTTTTAATGAATCAATATTTTGTTTTAGGTATGAATATCGTATTGAAATGATAAATCAATTGAATATAAATGATCCCTCCAAAAATGTACTTAGAGAGTTTACTTCAAATTTTGAGATTGGTGAATGTTGGGGATACAACAGATTTTTTAGACTAGATTTATTGGAAAATGAAGGATTCCTACAGCGAAACTCTTTAATTTTAAAGTAAGCCTTTAACGATTAACCTTCCGCACTATTGTAAATAATACAACAGTTTAAATAATTAACAAAATAATAACTTAATTAAGGTTTGTTAAATAACAGGATAATTAATAAAGTTTGTTAGTTAACTAAGGTTTATAACATAAGATGAACCATCAGCTGATTCAGTAAATGTACCATTAATGTAAATGTTTTAATATTTTATAGATGAACGATAATCAATACATTAGAACTGTTGTAAATTTTACTATGTGCAACTACTTTTTTTTATAGCAAATAGCTGAAAAGTTTAACATGTTTTTCTTACTAATACTTAAATTGTATAATATTTCACTTAGGTTTAGTGTAAGGCCACCAACATATTATCAAAAATGCATTGAACAACAATGGTATTTATCAAAATTGGAACTTGAAAACTCTTTATTAGTACAAAAATGTGATGAACTGAAACAGGTTATTTTTTTACATTGCACAATAGTTCAATTATTATTACTAAACTTTAAAAACAATTTTTTTAAAGTATTTATACATACGTCATAGTGATTCCTCAATATAACTGGGTTGTCTAATTTTTCAGGGTTATAAATTAATGTGTATTTTTTTTTTTACGACGAAGACAATACACGAACCTAATAAACTGTTATTTTTATTTATAATTTATGTAAATTATATATAAAAATATATAATTTATAATAAATTATATAGTATACAATTCTAGAAAAATTAAAGATATTACGTTTTATTCCTTTGCATTGAAAATGTTAATCAATGCTTTTGTCAACTTTTTTTTTCAGAAAGTACCAGCTAAAGTGAAACCTGTAATTAAAGAGGTTTCAAGTCCTAAAAAGAAACTTAAAATTAAAATTCAATCATTACTTGATGAGTTTGAAAGTGTTGAAGCGACTGGGTAATTATTTGTGTACTTTTATATAATATAATTTAAAGGTGACAACATAAGCAGTATATTTTAATAATACAGAAGTATCGATAAAAATCCAAATGAAGATCATGGAAGTCAAGGAGGGTCTTGTGATATTGAAATTGCCTCTAACTCAGTATTACCTCCCTTTTCGTTACAAAATTTGTATGACAGTGAACTTCCCATTCGTTTCCAAGGTGAAACAGCGCAATCAATGTTTGAAAGACTCAGTAGACTTTTTCAAGAAAATGAAATTGTATGTTCTTTATTTCTACCTATATAACTTATAATATTAATAATATAATGAACTTTTATTTAGATTCCAGATAGACCAATTAATGTCGGTAGTATCAATAATTCATTGTTGAATAATGCAGAACAGCCTAGTCAACCTGGTTAGTAAACTCGTTAAAAGTAAAGTATTTTAGATATATATATTAATAATTTTGGATATGAGTATTAATATAGTTATTTTAATGAGTGTTCAAATGATAATAAATTTTATTTTTAAGGTAATACACTTTTGAAAGCAGTGGCGGCTCGTGGCTATGTGCGGCCGCAACCCTAACAGAAATAACGAAATAGTATAAATAATATATTTGATTTGATATTTTATGTTAAGGAATACTTTCTTATTATTTTTCGTAGTATCTATAAATATAATGTCATATTATTGACGGCGGCGGCCGTATAAGCTATGTTATGACTAGCGCGATAATTTTCGTCTCACAATTTGGACGAAAGCCTATAAATACTTTTTAGGCTTTAGACCCAAGTTTTTACGGGAACATTTTCAGAAGTCTATTGTTTTTAGAGGTACTTCTAAAACCATACAAAATTAATTACTGAATTTTATTTTAAATATTATAAAAAATCATATTTTAATTGAAATAAATAATTTGGAGTGTGTATCCATAATTGTAGACAATATCTAGACCGATATCTTTAACAAATTTCAATTAGCATTAATATTAGGTTATGAAATTAATGGTAAGGTTACAAATAAAAGTTTTTATTTCATACTTATATGTATTTTCCTGAAATAAATAGATTACTTATCATTTTGGGTTATGGTTTTCTAATTTTTTACCACAATCCTGTGTCAAATCACCACGAGCCGCCACTGATTGAGAGAAATAAACAACTATATATTATTAAATATAGAGGTTAACCTTCCGATAGACAACCCAATTGAACTATAAGAGAAAGCATGCACAACTCATTTGTAATTATTACATATAAGGTTTTTCCTTTAATCGCCTTTGGGTTAAAAAAAAAAAATAATAACAATTGAAAAAAAATGCTTTTTACTAATGATAAATCATTTTTGTAAATTCTATTAAAATCAGACATATTAAGAAAATTAAATTTTTTTTAAATAAGTTTATATATTATTTGTGATTTTAGATTTTAATTTGGATAATCGTTTGCGCGTTTATGGGGTTAACCATTTTAACTCACCGAAAAGATTAAGTGAGTTACAAATAAAATATAATATTAGTATGTTAATTAGTTAATACATTAAATTATCTTTGATAAATGGTGGTATATTAGTTATTTGACTGCTATAATATGTTTAGGAGTAGCTGAAAATGCACAAATGGTTAATAAAATTCAGTCTGAAATAACGGAAGCTAGGTAAATATTTATATATTTATTATTTTTATTATTAATAAACATTGTATGTGCTATTTAAATTTATATTTTAATTGACATTTGCAGTTATAGTGATATTAGTGTAATATAATGTATACATGTTATTTAATTTTATTAGATTTCGCTTAACAAAATTGGAAAATGCTATGCTTAACAGTCAAACAAGTAATATACAATATTATTATTAAAATTAAAATTAGTACAATAACATTTTCGTAATTTGTAAAACTACAATAATTAAATAGTTGCAGAATCTTTTTCTGAACCGACATCTTCTATTCCGAACAATTTGACATTAGCAACAAATTCAGTGGAATTACTACAATCAAATTTGGAACATGATTTGATGCATGAATTACATGGTGCTACTAATTCCGTATGTGTAAATATAATATATCTCTCTTTATAATTATTAATCCATAGATAGGCTTGCATTCAACGCTAGTATCCTGGGGAAGGATATTTATGGTGTGAAGACTTATGACTGAGTTTCATACCATGCACAGCTAGTACTTGGTTACAAAGCGCCATATATATATATATATGTGTGTGTGTAATATATATTATGAACTTTTTGTATAACTTTATTATGTATTTTTTTAATATAATCTAGTAGTAAATTGTGCTTTCTTGACGGAATGAGGGGGAGAAAGTATGTTACCGGTAGAGATGGGCGTATTTGTATTCATGAATACGAATATTATTCACAGGACCCTCATCTGTGAAGACAAGTAAGAAAATATTCGTATTCAAAGTAAAAAAATAAAAATACACTATTATTTGCAGCCAAAAAAAGTGATTACAAATGTATTTGTATTATTTGGCTGTGAATACAAATGTATTCCTACTTTTAGGCTGTGAAAGCGAATATAATCGTATTTGTATGTGCTCATACCTGCTAGTATAAATATATTTGGAAATGTGAATACAAATGAAGGGCTGCGGGGAAAAAAGATTAATGTCAATTTTTTTTAAAAATGAGATTTTGGTATCAAATTGTTTGTATTGACGTATTGTATCTTTTATGTGCTCGAACCAGGGGAAAAAACAGATTCGTCGAGAGTAACGACCGCCGGAAGTTTAGGCATACAGGCAAAATGTATTACGTTTTGAAATTAAAAACATGATTTTCTCAGAATAAACAAAAATTGACATTGATCTTTTTTCCCCGCAGCCCTTCAAATGTATTTGTATTTGAATTCGCAGATGAGGGTCCTGTGAATAATATTCGTGCCCATCTCTGGTTACAGGTAACTAACTCACGATCCATTCTGAATATTGAATCTTCAATAAACCTCTATCTTGAAGGAGACAGTCTTTTTCTTGTCAAGTCCGAATATAAAATGCCAATTATCAATAGTCCTAATAATATAAAAATATTAAAAAAACCTTGGTAAATACTTAAATAATAAAATACATAAATAAATTAGGTAACAAATTTGGTAAATCTAAAAAAACAAAATCACATATGGTAACGTCCGAACATAGGGTGTCTTTCGTCCTTTGTCAGTTTGATTTCTCGATGTCTTTGGTTACACGTCTTATAATTTCGGGTAATATTCAATGATCTTACGACTTACTTGGAAACTTAATTATGTTAATTACAGAATACATTATCCATGGAAAATGGTGAAACTGAAGAACAAGGTACATCAGAAGACAGGTATTTTAATTTATGCCTTTTTCTTTAATTTTTTTTTTTTTTTTGCAACAGTAAGTTAATTTTATAACAAACAAATTCTTTTATTTTAGTTTTTTGAAAAACTTGACAAAAGGATTAGATGAAATGCTTTGTTTAGAAGATGTCTATAAAGGTAATCACCAAGCATACACTACTTTTATTATATTAGACTATTTGAAGTGATTAAAATCAATCAAGTATAAGTTATTTTTAAACAAATTTGAACAGGAGAGTAAAATTTAAATTGTATTTTGCAAGTGTTCTTGCGAGTGATGTTCATTTCTCTTTCAAAAATTGTAAAACAAATACAGATATAAATAGAATTCATTGACAAATATTGTATAATCAAAAACTTGTTTTTGAAAAAAAAAATGTCACCTGTACCCACTTTTTAGTTCTCATCACTTCATTTACTATCGAGCTATGTAAACTTAGCTAATGAATAACTCATTAGTTGATTTAAGTGAAATTATCATTATGATATAGTTCTAAGTATACTAAAGATTTTCATTACGTACTTTTAAAACTTAAGGAGAAACATTTTGTTTGATTTGAAGAATGTTAATGTTATGATATCAATTCAAAATTAATTTTTTCATTATTATTTATAGATAATTGGGATATTGCAGAAAGTTCATCGAGCGAGAGTGAATCGAGCCCGAGCGACGAACCAGTGTGCCCTGGTCATTTGAGTCAAAATTAATAATTTATTCAATATAACTATTTTTAATTTTAATATTTATTATCTATAAATGATACAACAGTCCCATACCATTATAGTCACAAATTATTTATTATCGATAAATTGCTTTAAATATTTAAATTCATTTATAAATTAAATTAATTAAAAATAACATTATAATATAAAAAAAAGTCCATATTGTAGTATAAGATTTAAAGATCTCAAATATTCAGAAACATAAAAATGTACAAAGTAAAATAGTTAATTTTGTTGTGGAACTATGTATTAAAACACAATTTAATGATTCATTTGTAATAAATATATAAATACAACATGTAAGTTCTAAAGCTAATTAAGAAAATCTTGATAAAAAGTGCAGACTAAATATTGGTTCTACCATCTCAAGCAGTGTCTAAATATCTCATAGAATCCAATTTAGTATAGTATTCCAATATGGAGTAGATAAAGAAAATGTGAGGTGTTTTATAATAATATGTACAATTTTAAAACACATAAATGAACTTGTCTTTATATAAACTGTTCCTATTTATTATTTACTTAGCTATTTTTACATGTAAAGCATTAGAAGGGACCGGTGCAATAACCAGCTAACTCAATTTTTAGTAATTATTCACGACGATCATAAGGAAATTCTTAATTTCATTTACTACTATTGGCAGAGGAAAAATGCGTTTTGTAAATAATGGTCCGATTTTACTGCTTTTTCACCAAAATGTAGATAATTTATCTATAATATAATTAGCATAAATTTAATGTTAAACTGTGTTCATATTTTTTTTTAATAGAATTTATAAGATTTGGTGTAATAGATAATGTACTAATATTTTGTATATTTCTAAATTATGGTTGACAATCACTGAAACAATTGTAATGTTAAAATAGCCTTCATTATAATAAATTATTTAAAACTTGATTTTTAAGTTGGTACTATTTATAGTTTACGTATTAAGGTACTCTATCAGCTGTTTATAAAACTGCTGTACATTAATAGTGATGGGCATAATCAAATGATTAGTATTTGAGAGAATCTCTCGAAAAATTACTCGAAACTAAAATCGTCTATTATTAAAATAATAGACTATTTTTACTGATTTTGAGTATGTTCGATTACATTAATTCCATTTATAAGTTATAACCAAATTGCCGACCTCATGTAGTTGGGAGTGTAAGGCGAAGATAAAGAAGTTATAACCAAATCAAATAGGTATAAGTAAAGAAATATGCACCTACTTATAGTAAGAAATAATTTAATATATTTTTTTTATTTGTCGGTATAATACCTATTATTAATTGAATCGTAATTTAGAAGTAATAATACTTAATTATTAGTGGGTGTCTTAAATAAAATGACAAAGATGTTTTATTTTTTTTAATCGTTCAATAATTATTATTATCTTCAATTTAATTATGTACCGTAATCCATGTTAACTGACATTTTTTCGAAAATGCATAAACAAAAGTGTCAAAGAATATTATAGAGCATTCATAGAATATTATAGACCGATTTTTTTCCACTTATAAGTTATTTCATTTATTGAATATAAAAAAGTTCTATAGATTTTGTGTAATATTTAGTTACAAAAGTAGCATTCCTGAACAACTTCAAAAATATCAGTTAATACCTTTATCCACTGACCCCTTCAATTACGAAATTAGTAATAATGTTTATCAATTGACAGACACGACAACCGACGATTCGAAACACTTCGAGTTCGCTGTTCGAGAGAAAATTCTATTATTTTACATACAATTGAAATTATCCAATTATTTTTATCATAATCGAAATATCTCGATTGTTTTCATAATCGAGATATCTCGATTATGCCCATCACTATACATTAGCGTTGCAATACAATGTATTATGCAGTAGTCAGTAATGTATTAAGTGATTAATGCAGGGATAGTTGGTAACTAAGAAAAATATACCGACAGCCGGTAATATTTATATTTTTATAGTTCAGAAATTGTTTTATAATTTTTGTTGACTGAGTATACTAGTAATATATAATAATGAATTACACATTTGACGAGAAACTTCTTTATATTGAGTGTTTAGAGAACAATAGAAAATACAACTTCGCTAATCCTTTATTAGGTATGCAGAAGTTATTTTATGTAGGTAGATTAGGTAAAACGGAATGGCACAGATTTATATTATACGTTCAAATATCATAATGTATTGTATTTTGTAATTTAGAAAATATTATTATGTCTTGCCTATCCTGTGTACAACGATGGAAATGAAGGGAACAGGGAAAAAACGGTAGTTGTCACATTATGAAAATGTTTTCAAATAGTTTTTTTCAATTTATGCCAATAATTTTTTTTTTATGTCAATAGATTGTTTAAATAAATACTTTTATTATTAGAGTAGCATTTAATGTGATTTTTTTTGTTTTAATGTAAGAGGTAGAGGAATTCACGAACTTTGTTTTTGCTATACTCTAAAACTTTCATAATGTGACAACTACCGTTTTTCCTCTCTGCCCTTCCAATAATTTTTATCACTATCTACCTTTTTCTAGGCCTTCAAAATAGAAAAACACCGGGAGTTTTCCCGGTGCGCCCCATGATAAATTAGCGATTTCAACCAAATGTTGAAATCGTGATAGACAAAAAGGGTAATTGTTGTGAAAATAAAATATACGCCGGGTTTAAGTATCACGGTTGATCTTTATTATTTACACAAAAGGTTGAAGACAAGGTATATTCATAAAAATGTCCGTGTATCCATCTACAATGAAAGTGTCCGGTTGGGCGGCGAGCGCGGCCTGTCGGACGAGTAGAGAAAGCGGGTGCGGGTGTAATTAGTACTCGGTCACCACCGAGTCGCGATGCTACCGCTTCAACGTCATAGCAAGTGGCATGCACAAAGTGCATGGACAGGTGTTCCTTGGCCTAGAGCGGTCTCAAGAAGAAGTGACCTGTCAGAAACTTGCGTCAGTTGCGACCGAGGAAGTCTTCTCTCTCGGCTCGTAGGCGATTCCAGAGGGCCGGCAGGAGCAGATCCATCGCCGATGCTTGCCTTCATCTCGAGCCTGAAACTGTCTGACGCCAAACGGTACTGCTGTAAAAGCTAAAAATCTCCGCAGAAGATGATTAAACACAATTAGTTAACGTCATAGCAAATGCCATGCACTAAGTGCATGGGACAGGTGTTCCTTGGCCTATAGCGGTCTCAAGAAGAAGTGACCTGTCAGAAACTTGCGTCAGTTGCGACCGAGGAAGTCTTCTCTCTCGTCTCGTAGGCGATTCCAGAGGGCCGGCAGGAGCAGATCCATCGCCGATGCTTGCCTTCATCTCGAGCCTGAAACTGTCTGACGCCAAACGGTACTGCTGTAAAAGCTAAAAATCTCCGCAGAAGATGATTAAACACAATTAGTTAACGTCATAGCAAATGCCATGCACTAAGTGCATGGGACAGGTGTTCCTTGGCCTATAGCGGTCTCAAGAAGAAGTGACCTGTCAGAAACTTACGTCAGTTGCGACCGAGGAAGTCTTCTCTCTCGTCTCGTAGGCGATTCCAGAGGGCCGGCAGGAGCAGATCCATCGCCGATGCTTGCCTTCATCTCGAGCCTGAAACTGTCTGACGCCAAACGGTACTGCTGTAAAAGCTAAAAATCTCCGCAGAAGATAATTAAACACAATTGGTTAACGTCATAGCAAATGCCATGCACTAAGTGCATGGGACAGGTGTTCCTTGGCCTATAGCGGTCTCAAGAAGAAGTGACCTGTCAGAAGGCCACATTACGTCGGGCTCGACGCCGCTTTAGTCGCCTTTTACGACAGGCGCGGGAACCTTGGAAGTATTCTTACTCCCCTGTCCACAGGGATAAAATGAGGGCACGAGAAAGTGAGAGCGTTAAGCAGAGGTTGGACCGCTCTTGGAGACCAGGTGTAGCAGCGTTCAGGTTCAGCGAAGTAGCACTGGGGAGGAAATTTGGTCACCATTTTAAACCGATGGCGAGAAAATGTTGTCAAATTCGATAAATATTCGAGAATTGGCGCTTTGGATAATCTACGGTGGATCACGAGTGGTGTTTGACCGGAGAAAAGTAGGTAGCGCACGCAGAACACACAGGGAGGCGAATCTTGAATAAACGTCACTTTCGGAAAAATTTGGTCACCATTTTAAACCGATGGCGAGAAAATGTTGTCAAATTCGATAAATATTCGAGAATTGGCGCTTTGGATAATCTACGGTGGATCACGAGTGGTGTTTGACCGGAGAAAAGTAGGTAGCGAACGCAGAACACACAGGGAGGCGAATCTTGAATAAACGTCACTTTCGGCAAAATTTGGTCACCATTTTAAACCGATGGCGAGAAAATGTTGTCAAATTCGATAAATATTCGAGAATTGGCGCTCTGGATAATCTACGGTGGATCACGAGTGGTGTTTGACCGGAGAAAAGTAGGTAGCGAACGCAGAACACACAGGGAGGCGAATCTTGAATAAACGTCACTTTCGGCAAAATTTGGTCACCATTTTAAACCGATGGCGAGAAAATGTTGTCAAATTCGATAAATATTCGAGAATTGGCGCTTTGGATAATCTACGGTGGATCACGAGTGGTGTTTGACCGGAGAAAAGTAGGTAGCGAACGCAGAACACACAGGGAGGCGAATCTTGAATAAACGTCACTTTCGGCAAAATTTGGTCACCATTTTAAACCGATGGCGAGAAAATGTTGTCAAATTCGATAAATATTCGAGAATTGGCGCTCTGGATAATCTACGGTGGATCACGAGTGGTGTTTGACCGGAGAAAAGTAGGTAGCGCACGCAGAACACACAGGGAGGCGAATCTTGAATAAACGTCACTTTCGGCAAAATTTGGTCACCATTTTAAACCGATGGCGAGAAAATGTTGTCAAATTCGATAAATATTCGAGAATTGGCGCTCTAGATAATCTACGGTGGATCACGAGTGGTGTTTGACCGGAGAAAAGTAGGTAGCGCACGCAGAACACACAGGGAGGCGAATCTTGAATAAACGTCACTTTCGGCAAAATTTGGTCACCATTTTAAACCGATGGCGAGAAAATGTTGTCAAATTCGATAAATATTCGAGAATTGGCGCTCTAGATAATCTACGGTGGATCACGAGTGGTGTTTGACCGGAGAAAAGTAGGTAGCGCACGCAGAACACACAGGGAGGCGAATCTTGAATAAACGTCACTTTCGGCAAAATTTGGTCACCATTTTAAACCGATGGCGAGAAAATGTTGTCAAATTCGATAAATATTCGAGAATTGGCGCTCTGGATAATCTACGGTGGATCACGAGTGGTGTTTGACCGGAGAAAAGTAGGTAGCGCACGCAGAACACACAGGGAGGCGAATCTTGAATAAACGTCACTTTCGGCAAAATTTGGTCACCATTTTAAACCGATGGCGAGAAAATGTTGTCAAATTCGATAAATATTCGAGAATTGGCGCTCTGGATAATCTACGGTGGATCACGAGTGGTGTTTGACCGGAGAAAAGTAGGTAGCGAACGCAGAACACACAGGGAGGCGAATCTTGAATAAACGTCACTTTCGGCAAAATTTGGTCACCATTTTAAACCGATGGCGAGAAAATGTTGTCAAATTCGATAAATATTCGAGAATTGGCGCTTTGGATAATCTACGGTGGATCACGAGTGGTGTTTGACCGGAGAAAAGTAGGTAGCGAACGCAGAACACACAGGGAGGCGAATCTTGAATAAACGTCACTTTCGGAAAAATTTGGTCACCATTTTAAACCGATGGCGAGAAAATGTTGTCAAATTCGATAAATATTCGAGAATTGGCGCTTTGGATAATCTACGGTGGATCACGAGTGGTGTTTGACCGGAGAAAAGTAGGTAGCGAACGCAGAACACACAGGGAGGCGAATCTTGAATAAACGTCACTTTCGGCAAAATTTGG